TTGGGATCAGGGACTGCCTTTTACTTTACTTTGTATCCCCAGAACTTACATAGTCCCTGGCACAAGTAGGCACTTAATAAATGCTTGTTGGCTGATTGATTCATGAAATGAGCATAGTAATTCTTAGACTACCTGCCCCACAGTGTTGTTGTGAGGGAAGGGCTCTGCCACCCTTTGAAAGCACCATATAAATGCCAATTACTGCTCTGTACAGCAGCTGCCCCACCTAATTCCTGCCTTCTGCCCCTTCTGTTTCTCCAGGCACCTCAGTGACGCAGCTGCTGGCTCGTGACATGGATAACGACCCCCTGGTTTTTGGGGTGTCTGGTGAGGAGGCCTCTCGATTCTTTGCGGTGGAGAGTGACACAGGGGTTGTGTGGCTGAGACAGCCCTTGGATAGAGAGGTATGACTGTCTCATTACCTAACAATCTTCATCTCATTTGGGGGAGATGGCCAGCTAAGCTCTGCTTAGCTAAATTTAACTCTGCTTACCTGGTTCCTTTCTACTAATGACGCTATTTCCCCTAGCAAGTAATGCCATCTTACTAGGTCAAGTCAGATCTCTCTTAAAGGGTTAATTATTTTCATTTTTTTCTGGAAAACCCCAAAGGAGCTATTAGCCCTGGATTTAGCCTTGAAAAGCAATATAGAGGGGCAACTAGGTGGTGCAGTGGATAGAGTACCAGCCCTGAAGTCAGGAGGACCTGAGTTCAAATCCAACCTCAGACACTTGGCACTTATTAGCTGGGTGACCCTGGGCAAGTCACTTAACCCCATTGCCTAGCCAAAACAAACAAACAAACAAACAAACAAACAAACAAAAGCAATATAGGAATGTGAGAGAAGCAAGAATTCTCTCCTGTTCTTTCTGTCCCTCAACAAAGCAACCCCTAATCCACGTTTCCAGATGAGTAGGAAGTGATGATAGGCAAATTCTTAGCCTGATTCCTAGTAGGATGGAAAGTCCCTGAGCACTGAACTGTATGTCTCTCTTCATGTGAGCCAAACCTGCCTCAGACCAATCTCAGAAAACCCAATCTCCAAGTGGGCCTCATGGCTACTATCTCATTGTCTGGGGAGCATCTACCCCATTCATCCTCTATTCTCTTTATTGTTCCTACGTCTCAATTCTCTACATAAAAAGCAGGGCTTATTTCTAGGGAAGCCTCTGAAAACCCTGATGGAAGAAGGTGGCCTAGTCTCCTGGGACCATATTGGTATCTTTCTACCCAGATTCCATACCCTTTTATCAGCTATAATAACAGAATGAACTCTGCAATGTTTAACTCTTCATTTCTCCACTCTCTTCCAGACCAAGTCAGAATTCACTGTGGAATTTTCTGTCAGTGATCATCAGGGGGTAAGTGTCCCAAGAACCTTATTACCTATGAAGAAGTGTTCATAAACTTGAGGGCTAGGGGTCCCCAACACTTTCTGGGTGGGAACCTTAGGAATTGAGGTGTTACTTTCTCTCTTTTTACATAGATGGGGGTCTATAGGTATAGAACATTACATTTCAAAAAAAGCTAACATATAAAGTGCTTGGCAAATCTTAGAGTCAATAAACAGTAGTTGATAACATTTATTAAGCACCTATTGTGTACCTAGATTTCAGAAGTACATGCTGACAGTGAGTATCTTGGCTCTTTTTCTTTCTAGGTGATCACAAGGAAAGTGAACATCCAGGTTGGGGATGTGAATGATAATGCTCCCACATTTCACAATCAGCCCTACAGTGTCCGCATCCCTGAGGTAGGAGCCCAGTATACATGTGAGAATGGTGGAAGGTGGGAGGGGTCAGGAGAGTCACGACTCTGTCTCTCTTCTTCTGACCATGCTGCAGTCTTGTTTCAGCAGCAGCAGCATCTGCCACTGGCAGGGTAGTGAATAAATGGGCACTGTAGGGGGTAGGGAGGAAGGTGGTAGTGGTGTTGATTATTAGAGAAACCAGTCTGGTCTAGACTCATGTATTCCATCAAGATTGAGGGGAAGAGGCTGAATAAATAGATTTGTGGGGTAGAATTTGGCAAGAGAAGAGCCGAGTGTTTTGCCCTCTAATTTTGTACTTTGGGGCATTGGAATTTGTTTGGTGTGGTTGGTAAAGGGTCGTCCCCTGAACTGGGTTATATTAAACACTGATTCAGCTCTTCCTAGCTGTGGCTGGATCCAGCTACTCACTGACGAGAAGTGAAGGCATCATCCTTAGAGGACAGCATTCTCCTTAACCATTCTTTATTTCTTCCCCTCAAGGACTCGCCTGCTTAGTCTTCTCATTGTTGGACTTTTGACCCTTTAGGGCAGGCTATGAGTGGCTGAGTTTGCAAAATTGCATGTGTGTGAAGTCAAGTAACCTCTGGCAACTTGAGAAGTACAAGTTATTATATTCCAAAAACCTCATTAATAAACTGACCCAGTGAGACGTCAATCTATCATCTTCTGTCCCCTTGGTGTCCAGGGACAACTTTACATCTTTAGAAAAAATGGGCTTCAAAGATAGTCCTTGGGATGGATGGGGAATGTGGTACTATTGTCTCCAATATCAGCTTTCAGAATTAAAAGAGAATTGGTATGAATGGTGGATAGAGTGGAGGACTCAGAACCCAAAAGACCCAAATTCAAATCCTGCCTCAGATCTGCTATCAGTTTCCTCCCAAGGGCACTGACAGAGTCTACTACATATTTTTTTTTATGTTCACAACTGAGCCCTTGCTGCTGCACACCAGGATCTTCCCTGGTTGGCTATCATACTCTCTTCAGCATCTTTTTAAAAATTATTTCTATCTTTATTCTTTTATGACTTTGTTGTTGTTGAGTCATTTTCAGTCATGTCCAACACTTTGTGACCCCATTTGGGGTTTTCTTAGCAAAGATACTGGAGTGGTTTGCCATTTCCTTCTCCAGCTCATTTTGGAGTTGAGGAAACTGAGGCAAACAAAGGGGTTAAGTGACTTGCCCAGAGTCACACAGCTAGTAAGTGTCTGAGCCTCGATTTGAACTCAGGTCCTCCTGACTTCAAGGCCAGTGCTCTATCCACAGCACATCATTTCCACGTCATCTCCCCCTCCCCCAACTCTCTCCTCTTTAGCTCTAGTATCAGGTGAAGAAGTGACACCCACCACTCTACTTGTGCCTTTGATCTTCCCTTCCACCATCTCCATGAGCTTTTCCTTTCAATTATTCCATCTTTTTCCTTAATTTTAAATTTCTCCTTTATCTAGCAACTCCTTTCCTATTGCTTAAAACCATGTCTAGATCTCCCCAATCCTTAAAAAAACCCAACAAACTTGATTCTGCCATCCCTTCATCCTGCCTCCCTTTCACAGCCAAAGGTCCTGCAAATCATCTTTACTCACTGTCTCCTCTTCCTTTTTTCTCACTTCCCTTTCAGCCTCTTACAGTCTGACTTCTGGCATCGTTTCTCAACTGCAATTGTCCTCTCCAAAAGTCAAAAATGATCCTGTAATTCCTAACTCCTTTGGCCTCTTCTCATTCCTGATCCATCTTTGCCTCCCCAGTATTTGACATGGCTAATCACTCCATCCTCTGAATACTCTCCTTTGTGAGTTTTTCCAGGCACTGTTCTCCCTCAGTTCTCCTCCTACCTACATGGTTGCCCCTTCCTACTCTCCTTTGTTGAATCATCATATGCATCCCACCTGCTATGGGGGTGTACCTCCGGTCTTTGTCCTGGGCCTATTTTCTTCTTTCTCTATATCATGCACTCTCATGGGTTCATCTAAAAACTTTATGCAGGCAACTCCCAGATCCATCCCCTGTGTCCCTCCTGAATTTTAGTCCTGTGTCATCAGCTGCCTATTGGAGATCTCCAACTGGCCCAAAGGCATCTCAACCTCAACATACCAAAAAAAGAACTCATTATCTTCTCTGTACCCCTTCCCCACAACCCTTTTCTTCTCACTTCTCGATTTGCATTTGAGCACCACCACTATTCCGGTTACCCAAATTTGGAACCTTAGAGGTATCTGGGACTTTCTCCTCTCCTTTACCCATCTTATTCAATCAGTTTCAAAGTCTTGTCAATCTACTCCCACAGTACATCTGTCATTTGTCTCCTCCTTCCCATTCACTCAGACACCACCCTGCTTCCTGCCGTCTTCGCCTTATGCCCGGACTGTCATAATAGCCTTTGAAATGATCTCCCTGCCCTTAAGTCTATCCTCTCTCCAATCCGTCTGACACACTACTACCAAAGTGATCCTAGTAAGTATAGATCTGAACATGTTACTCCACTGCTCAAGAAGTTCCAATGACTCCCTCTTGCCTTGAGGATAAAATACCACTTCCTTCCTTTGGTATTGAAAGTGCTCACAGTCTTGCTAATTGAGCGTCATCCTCCTTCATGCCCTCTATGAAGTCATCCCAGCCAAACTGACTTACTTCCTGACCCTTGTATGTGACCTGTGTCTTTGTGTCTTTGCCTGGGCTATTCTCCCTGCCTGAAATGGATTCTTTTCTCATCTCCACCTCATCAATTCACTAGTTTCCTTCAAGGCTCAGTTAAGTGGGCATGTCCTACAAGATATCTCTCCTGTTTCCCCCGCCACAGTTGTTAGTACTCTCCTATCAGAAAGTACCTTACATCTATGTTGTATGTGTTTTGTATTTGATTTTCTTTGTATACAGGATTACCATGGTGTTTCAGTAGATTGGAGTCTGGAATTGGATTGGAGTCTGGAAGACCTGGGTTCAAATTCTCCTTCACATAGGGAGAATTTGGTCCTTACTAAGTGTGTGACCCTGGGAAAGTCATTTAACATGGGCCTTACTAAGTGTGTGACCCTGAAAAAGTCATTTAACTCCTCTGTGCCTTCATTTTCTCATCTGTAAAATGAAAATATTAAGTTTTCTGGTCTCTAAGAGTCCTTTCCAGCTAGAACTCTATGATCCTTTATTGTTTTCCCTGAATGGTCTCAGCTCCCTGCAGGTAGGGATTATTTCATCTTTTTGTCTTTGAGTCTCCAGCACCCAGCACAGTGCCTGATACTAATACTAATAAATGCTTATTTAATCAATAATTGAATGAATACAACAGGTGCTCATATACGTTTGTGAGAGTGGGAGGGGTGGGTGTGGGATTTCCAAAGATTTGGCCCCCAGTGTGTTACTCTATAACCTTAGGGAACATGGAAATCTACTAAGTGGCCCCTGATACCAGCTCATACTTTACAGTCCCACCCCATCCAGCCTTCTACTCAGGCCATTTTGACATCTTTCTACTTCAATACAGCATACCCCATCTCCTCCCTTCCTTTCCCTCTTCCTTCCCCTACCCCCTTCCTTCCATCTCTTGCTCTAAGAACAGTCATTCAATCAATAGAACTATTTCTTCTAGAAAGGGCATGTCAACTGACTGCCTTGCACATCCGCTCACCATCTTAGTAACTCCTCAGACCCAAATTCCCTGCCATGGCCCCCATTTCCTTTGTTGTCTCCTCCTATTAAAACATAAGCTCCTTGAGGGTAGGAACTGTCTCTGTTTTTTCATTGATGTTATTAGCCCAGGGCCAGGTATAGTGAGCTCTTAACAAATGCTTTTTCCATCAATTCATTCATTCACGGATGAGTCAAATGGAATGTCTGGGGACTTCCCACCAACAATACAGATTGCAGCCCATCTCTTCCTGCCGGGTCTTTGTGAACCTTGTCTATGTCTTCGTCTAAGTCTGCCAGAGGGGAAACCCCCAAAGTGTCAGGAGCCAGTTTCACTTTCCCTTGATATCATGAAGATGCTAGTGGCTCACACAAACTGTTATCCCTTGCTTTATTATATTGATTATTATATTGAGTCATTATATTGATACTGAATATTATTGTGTGCTTAACACAATTTCTATACGACAACAATATTAAAAATAGATGATACGTTCACTTCATCAAGGTTTACTAAGAAGTACATTGTATATATATTATATCTAGATCCTAAAGTAGGTAGTACAAAGGTTGTTATCTCAATTTTACAGGTGACAAAATTGAGGTCCAGAGAAGGAAAGTGACTTGCCCAGGGTCACCTAAATTGTAAGTGGCAGAGATGATGATAACCAGAGCTAGGATGTCTGGTCTCTCTTTAAGGTTTGCAAACCACTTGACATAGGATATCTCTTTTGACTGAATTCTTGCAAAAACCTTACAGAGTTCTATTATTATTATCCCCATTTTATAGTTGAGGAAACTGAGCCTAAAGGAAGTTAAATGACTTGCCCACAGACACACAGCTGCTGTGTCTCAAGTCCAGAGTGCTATGTATGGCAGCATCTAGCTCCCATATAATCATCAATCTAGAGTCATAAGGGCCCTGAGAGATCAGTCAGTCCATTCACATCATTTGCAGATGAGGAAAGTGAGGCCCAAAGAGTTGAAGTGACTCATCTACTGTTAAACCGATAGTATTGAGAGAGCTGGGATTCAGACTCAGGTTCTGGGACTTCAATTTGAACCAAAGTTTTCTAACTCCAAACTCAGTGGTGTCCCCTCCCTCCCCAACACAGACACATCCACACCCACACCCACCCCTCAACACTTCCTACCACCCCCCCATACCCACCCCCCTTTACAAATACCCTCTACACCCACAAACACCCCCCACAAACACTCAACCCTACCCCACCCCCCACACACCACATACATGCCTCCCAGTACAATGCCAAATGGATGGTACAAAGTTCAGGTCAGAGGACAGAGAGGTCAGTGTTAAGAAAGGGTTCACGTAGGAGTGGGATGGAAGAGTGGAAGAG